CTAAGTAGAAAGGAAAGTGGTAATCGCAAGAAATGGTATTTTCAATGAATTGAAAACTGGATGAACAAATCAATGAGCAAACAGATGATGGAAAACAAGAGTTTACAGAGTATTCAAGTGAAGAAGAAAGAGAAAGTGAAACTGTACAAGACTTGAGAAATAAAAACTCTAAAAGAAGTGAGAGAACAAGAAAAATACCGACACACCTGCAAGACTACCAATCAAATGAAGATGATGATAACTTGTACGAAGATGCAAACCTTATGACAGCACTCTCGGCAGGAAATTTGCCCTCTGAAGTTCCACAAAAATATTTAGATGCGGTGAAAGACAGTGAGTGGAGACAAGCGATAGAAGAGGAGCTAAATTCTTTGAAAGAAAATAAAACCTGAACACTTGTGGAAGTTTCTAGGGACATGCAAGTGATCGACTCGAAATGGGTGCTTAAAGCAAAAGAGGTGAATGGTGTATTAGTGAAGAAGGCTAGGCTGGTGGCACGTGGTTTTAGATAGAGTGTGTTAAGTGAAGGCGTTTATGCCCTAGTGGCTCGTATATCAGAGTGCTTTTGTCATTGTATGTGCAGGAGGATTTTTATGTGCAACAGTTGGATATAAAGTCGGCGTTCTTGTTATGGAATATTGGAAGAACCTATATATTCGATCAACCTGAAGTGTTGGAAGAAGATCCTAAATTGGTACCTATGTAAAATTTTAAAATCTCTTCACGGGTTGAAACAAGCTCCAAACTGTTGGAATTCCTTGCTTCATGATTTTCTAGTTTCTCTTGATTTCCAACGTTCCATGAAAGACCCGTGTTGGTATTTCAAGGACCATACTTATCTGTTGATGTATGTTGACATCGTTGTTTTTTCATAAGACAAACATGTTTTGGATTTTATTGAAACAAGTTTTGATTTAAAATTATTGAATCACTAACAAGAAGTTGACATTTTTAGGTTTAGAGATAGAAAAGGTAAACAATGAGCTCTACATAAGTCAAACAAGTTTGATTAAGAAAATCTTGAATAAATTCAATATCTAGGTATAATTGTAAGCCTTTAGAAATTCCATTACAATCAAAAATTCAATCAGTTATAAGCTCTATTGATGAACCAAAGAACGAAAAGCTTGCTTACAAAGAGCTTATTGGTTGCCTTATGTACCTAATGTTGGGCAGTAGGCCAGATTTGAGTTTTACTATTTCATATTTCAGCCAATTTCAAAATAATTACCCAGAAACCCATTGGATTTATTTAAAGAATGTTTTAAGATACTTAAATCAACTGAAAAATATGGTCTGAAATATAGAGGGAGTGAAAGACCAGTGTTAAAAGTATTTTCCTATGTAGACTCAAATTTTGCAAATGATCCTATCGCTAGGAGAAGTGTTACCGGATTTTTAACAAAAATGAATGATAATATTGTTTATTGGAAATTGGAAGTCTAAAAAGCAAAATATTGTTACTCTTGCCAGTACTGAGGCTGAATACATTGCTCTGTCAAGTTGTATCACAGAAAACTTATTTTTGGCTCAAATGTTGAATGAAATTTTTAAAACTGATTTGTTTCCTATACTTATTTACGAAGACAACCAGTCTTGCATCAAAATGGCCTCAACACTGGAAAGTGAAAGAACCAAACATATTGACATAAGACATCATTTTGTTAGAGACCTCATAAGGGATGGTAAAATTGTCTTGAATTATGTGAGTACAAATCAGCAATAGGCTGATATCTTGACCAAACCTTTAGCAAGTACAAAATTCAAGTTTTTCAGAAACTCGATTAATGTTGAAGAAATTATTTTTGAATAGGTAAGTAACCATTTCTTTTATTTAATTTTTGTTCAAATTCATAACTCGATTTATAATGGATGTTATGTGCTTTGATGTATTATCATTTTATTTTATTAATTTATTTGAATTGAGCTTCAATTCCTATAATACTATAATACTATTTAGAATTGATGTTTTGTTTATGTAAACGGAAATGTAAACCAATACAGAATTGTGAGGGAGTGTTGGAGTACCTACACTTCTGTGTTCTAGTGCAGTTCGCTACAGTTGTGCGAACAAACCACTGATGTGTGACAGAACTGACTGCAGACATGTTGTCGCAGTTGTTGTTTTTTGGTTTGAGCTTTTACCATCAAGAAATTCACATGGTTTTGTAAAATAAAAAGGCAAATTGTTTAAACATTTGATATTTTATTTTCACTCAGGACCCTATAGTTCAATACGACCTAGTACTGGCACAAGGTACTTCGCTATGGAGATGGGTAAGCACCAGCCGAAGAAGTACAGAGACTAGTCGAGTACAGCAACAGGAGCAAAGTACCGTTTCTAATTGGCTGTAGCGTTAACGCCCACAACAACATCTGGGGAAGGGCCGACACAAATCGAAGAAGTGAGCAACTGTTAGAATTTATCTTTCAAACAAACCTAGATATACTAAATGTAGGGAATACACCAACATTTGATACTAGGATCAGACAGGAAGTATAAGACGTAACACTTTGTAGTCCAAATATTAACCAAAAATGATCAGGAATTGGAGAGCCTCCAATGAAGAGAGGGTTCATGATCACAGAATCATAATGTTTGACGTAAAAGGAGTGCAAGAACGAACTACTTCGTACAGAAACCCCAGAAATACGAACTGGGAAAAATACACAACCAAACTGCAAGGCAACATAAAAAAAAAATCATTTTAGCTCCAAGAATAGGTATACGTGAAGTAGAAGAAACCCTCCAGATCCTTAACGAAGCAATCATGAAGGCATCCGAATCCAGCTGTTCCGTGAAAGAAGAAGTAAACAAACATGGTTGCCCATGGTGTAACAGTCACCTGTCACGACTCAGATCGGAGGATCGTTGGCATTTCAACAAACCCAAACGAGACGGAGAATAGCAGGACTGCACCAAAAGGCTGACTGAGTACAACAAAGAAATTAGGAAGGCCAAGCGAAAAAACTTCAGAGACTTCTGTGAATCTATCACAGAAACACCATCAGCAGCCAGATTATAGAAAACCTTGGCGAAAGGCAGGGCGCAAGGACCATTGACACTTAAGAAACGAGACGGTAGTCACACAAAAAAATTAAGAGGAACGAGCAGCTCTGCTACTAGAAACTCACTTTCCAGGAAGCCCACCTAATGATATTGAAGAAAACATAGGGCGGCCCAGGAAAACCAAGCAAGAAAACTGGGAGGTTGCCAAGAACCTTCGCACTCCTCAGCGGCTTACTTGGGCGATCGAGTCGTTCCCACCGTTCAAATCCCCTGGAGTTGACGGCATCTTTTCAGCCCTGTATAACAGGAGCAATGAAATCATGCCCAACCGCGGTACTAGAAGTCATTCTAGACCTCACACCACTCCACATAATAATAAAGTGGGTTGCCAGTGGATCATGTCTCAGACTGGAGAAGTTAGGTTTGCAAAGGAGAACGCACCTTGGTAGAACTTCTCCTCTCCCAAACTGTGCGCACCTTATGGATCTACCAAAATACGTGATTGTTGATAAATTCAGTTTCGAGAAAGACTTTTCCATCCAACTAAGTATAGAAAACAGATGGAACATGGAATCTATCCAATCTTCTAAAGCAGACACCATCAAATGGTACACAGACGGTTCCAAAGCTGCTGAGGGAACTGGAGCCGGAGTATTCGGGCTACAGACCAGATAATCGGAAACAATGGGAAAATCACCCAGCATATTTCAAACGGAACTTCTTACGATCGGAAGATGCGTGGAGTTCAACCTGAACAGAAGTTATCAGAAACGGGAGATTGTAATAATGTCTGACAGCCAAGCAGATACAAAGCATTGAGATTCCCGGTCATCCTTTCACTGGACCAGAACCATTTTGCGGCGTCGGAAGAAAAGAGTACCTGCTAAGGAACAAACACTGGCTAGAACAGCCTAGACTACGACAGGCCAAAGATCTATTGGGAAACTTCAATCAAACAAGATCAGATCTGCTGGTCAACCTTAGCAAGAAAAGTCTGAAGACCGGGTTTCTCTCGGAACATTGCAGACTTAAAAAACACCTACAGAAGTTGGGGTTAGAAGAAGGTGGCACCTGCAGATTCTGTGAAGACGGAGAAGAGACACCTCACCATCTTCTACTGAACTGCGATGCCGTTAGTCGCTCAAAGATAAAGAATCTGGAAAGTGCCCTTATACAGTTAGAAGACATTCCAGCCCTGGAACCGCTAGATATCCTAAAATTCTTAAAGGACCTAGGACTGCAGGGGCTGCTTTGAGCAGGAAACCTGAACTTAGCAGCGGAAGGAGGGGTACAATAGATCAACATTGATTGCGGTGCAACTGACACCTCCAACACACAAACACATAAATATTCATACACAAATATCTAAAGGACTTTGATGTTTCAAATAGACTTGACTTGGATGGAGTACGTTGACCAGTTTCAAATACACTGACACTTATAACCTACTCACGAAGTGATGGCGAGATAATTTGCAAAGGAAGCCTGGCAAAAACTCTATCCAGGCTATCCTCAAACTGTTGGAAGAGACATACATGCAGATGTGGAAAATACAGGAGAAAAACTGGCCTTGCAAGTAATTCTCAAGTTAGGTAGCAATCTATCTATCTTAACGGTCTATAGATCCTCTCAAGGAAACTTCTTTCAAATATTTGATACCAGCGCAATAGCATCAACAAGTAAATTCTAAAACCCACCATTCACACGCATCTGCCATACTAGAAATCGTACATCTTCGTAGAAAAATCAGATTCGACTCAAGCAGATAGAGGTTCGCCCATTCATCCCATCGTTCCTTCTATTTACCCCTTTGATAACAATTCAAAAATCCATACACCATCAAAATGCCACTAATTTGTCAGAGGCGAATGCGGCTTGGAGGGCGGGCGCGATCCTACGGCGACTGCGCCCTCTTTATACGACATGCCACTCAACCCTCAACTCCAATGGCAGCCGGACTAGTGTACAATCAACCACCCTGACGGAAGAGGGTGCAAAGTGTCGAGCAAAAATTTTTGCGACCTTTCAACAGAGTCTACTCTAAGTCGGTCTATGATTATTAATATGTCTCTATAATTTTGAGCGAATTCGAAACGGTTATATTGATGTTTGTGCGCGAGGATCTTTTCTTGGTGAACAAAAATGAGTGACTTTTCTTAATGATGCCCTAAATTACAAACTAATAATAACTATAATCGCTCATTGAAATATTGAACAATTGACTTTGATTGTATAAACGAAAAACAAACAATTATGTATTCGCCAGATAAAATGATGGGTTCCAAAGGGCCCACGGGACTCCATGGACCCATAACGTCTTCTGGTGCATGTTTTGCTGGTAGATATTCGCCCACGTACAGGAATCCTGATCCTATGCCCAGAAGGTGTATGCCCAATCCGTCGGTAAGTGACTTACGTTGTTTTGTTTTGTTTATAAATAATTGATTTATTTTGTTTGAGTAATTAATTGTCCTGGTACAGGATTAAAATTTGGGCACTTAGTACAAGTTGAAAGAGGCTTTAAGCGTCAAAATAACGAGAGCAAGGTTTGCCTTCACCTAACTGAAATATTACCTATATAATTTGCTTAAAATATAATTCATTACAATCTATACGCATATAAACACAAACACTCTCAAATTAAGAAATTAGAATCCCGATCATATCAATAGAAATTGCTCTGAATGGCTGGTATCAGGTACTCTAGCAACTATTCATATAAACCAATCGAGAAAGATAAATCAAAAAATACATATTACATAAATAACAATATAAAAAAAATATATATCTAATAAAAGATTTTTTAAGTAAATTTCCACCATGTAAAAGCCGATTCAATAAAAATATATATCTATCTGGAATGAAGAAAAAATTGCGAAAAATGCTTCTCAACTACCTATATCAAATTATTCCCTATACAAATCTATAAAATAGCAAAAAAAAACATAAATTTCTAAAATTATACTCGTTCAACAAAGATAAATAATTTAAAGAAAAAATTTAATTTGTCATCAATTAATTAGAATTCAGCCCTAGATTAAACACCAAATTTAAATATTAAACCGTGCGTATAAACTGTTTAAATGTTCATTGAATAACTAAATGCACTACTAGCTAATTAATTTGTATTTTCGAACATTATAAAAAGTCAGGTCGTTATATTTATTAGTCGCATTGAAGTATATATATTTTATCCCTCTCTAAGTTTGTAGAATGGGTATAATAAATTATTAAAACATGAAAAATAATAAATAAATCTCAGACTTAATAAGGAACCGCATTAAAAATTAATTTGTGCCCCACATCACGACAACAAAAACAACATTAATAATGCACAAAAGCAGGAAAAATATATATAATTAGTTAAAAAACATTTATGAAACTTTTTATAGTTCTTTATACCATAAAAATAAAACTTTTTCAATTACTTAAACAGGCAAAAATACTTCTTTCGTAATTTCGCTCAATTCGAAGAAACAATTTTACATTTTAAAGCTCCCCTGTTCCTAACAAATTAAGACCCTAATCCCAATAAACACTTCAGGCTCATTGGAATAATTCTTTACGCTCATGATATTCGTTTTGTACGAGGATTGCTCAGGAGATTTCAAAATTGAAATGTTAACTATTTTGACCCAATTGATATCAATATAATGACATAATCACTGTTATTAAGTCAAATATTCCAGGGATATTTTTGAATCTAATAAGTACCTATAATCTAAAGATTTTTGCTTTTGAAAATTTAATGTGTTAGTAAACAATGTAGGGAATGAATTATTATGTAGGTTTACTTTGTTTCGATCTCATTAATGTTGTAGAGCTCTTTACATAAAATATTAATTTTTTGATTTGGCAAGCAGTAAGGATTTTTGAGTCGAATTTGTAAAAATAAACCGAACTCAATTGTGTGTTTGGTAACAAATTTGAGAATTTATCAGCGAGAAAGTGTGCTGTAAAGATCAAATAGTGACATTTATAACGTAACACTTTTTTGCTAACAAACTTAAGTAATATTTCTGTAACACTTGACTTTTCAGCAATCGGAGGCTTTTCTTACTCGAATTAGTTTGAACTTACTTTTCGTCTGTGAAGCAATTTCTTGGTTTCCCAGTAATCTTTTGATATTGCGTCTTCTTTTTTAAATTTCGGATTATATTTCTTACTGCTCAATCTGGATCATGATACTCATGAAGATTGAAGGAGAATATTCATAAGCTTCTATTTATCTCAGTCAGAAGTAAGTTGAGCGCAAAATTGTGCACTTTGTCCTCTTCAATAGACTACCTTGTTATGGTGAATTACTCAACAGGCAAATTTTTATGAATTTGTGGTGTGCTTTTTAGTAGATTGGATGTTGCCAAGTTGGAACAGAGCTATCTTAGCGCCAGTACTGGACGTCCACGCACGAAATAGCAATTCTACGTCTTGATAATGAAATTTTCTAGTTGAATGTTATTCACCAGGGTTAGGTGGAAGAACAGATAGGTACCGATTTTTTCTAAAAATCTCGCCCTTTTTGTTCTGAATTTTTGTGATTACTTATAATTTGTTTTGAAGATGAAAGACCTTTATTATTATTATTATTATTATTATTATTCTTCTTTCAATATCACACAGTTGGTTGTTTATTGCTGTGGTGGTAAAGAAAATCCACCGGAGCAAGCCTTGCTCCTGGGGTGAATTTCCACAGTGCGCGGTTAAAAGACTTTGCGCACGATATGTGCAGTGCTCAGCACAACCGATTTCTGGAGAATTAAGAGATTGTGGGCTCCTGGGATGAGTTCGATGACTTCCTGAGTTCTTTTTAATATCAATCCTGTTGCACCAATTACCACTGGAATTATTGATGTCTTCATATTGCATAGCCTTTGAGTTTCTATTTGTAGGCTATTGACTATGTCGAAAAAAACGGGGGTAGAAGGAACTAAGACGTTAGTGGAATATTATTGTTTAATATGTTCAATTGGCCCCTAAAGATGATAAAACCGCGGAGTGCTACCAGATATAGTGGTGCATTTTTAAGAGCGGGGTGCGTTTGTCAGCTTTTTGGGTTTTCGGCTATAACTCAAAAACTATGCATTTTTGGTGGATAAATGCATTGAGGGTTTTTGTAGAGAATAAAATTTCCTATCGAAATGACATCTTTTGGAATCCAAGAACTGGTTTTTTCAACAAAATAAATCCAAAAAACAACTTGAAAAAAAAATCAAAAAATTGACTTTTTCTACTACCGTGTGTAAAGTACTCACTTTACGCACTTTCCAGAAGACGTAAAATTTCACTTCACGCACTAGTGCGTAAAGTAATTCACTTCACACACTAGTGCGTGAAGTAATGTCAATGACAAATGTTGACACTGTCAATTTGGCATTTTTCTGGTAAATTACTTCACGCACAAGTGCGTAAAGTGAAAATTCTTCACGCACTAGGGCGTAAAGTATTTTTCTAAATTAATTTTTTTACACATATTTGATTGGTAATACAAAAAATTTTGTATGCAACACGTGCGTAAAGCATCTTTTTTCACTCATTGCATAAATAACTATTTCATATTTTTTTCAAATTTTTGCCTATAACTTTTTTCTGAATTGACTGCATAGGCATTGCTTCATGAAAAACGAAGCTTATGTATAGTGTGGCAAGTGGTAACTTGGTAGAGACGAAAGGGGGAAGGAAAGTGGGGCGTTACATAAAAATATTCACTGACAGCTCAACTGACATCGCCTGATGACAGCCATGTCTTTCAGTTCAGTGGCACCGAAAACACCAAGGAAATAAACCAATAAAATTATTAGAAAAAAGATTCTCTAGTTTCGCTAATAACCACGCCACTGCATGCTGTCGTTCAGGCTCTAACCAATAGAATCATGTTTCTAAATAATCACGCCTCTCCACATCCATCATTTCGCAATGTTGCCTGATTTATTTCTATTTCAAAATACTACACATGCCCATTCAGCAAAAAAAAAAATATGTCACCAACTTGTTTATTATTTTGTTCCTAATTTCCGTCAAGTTTGGCAAAGCAGCAAATTCTATTGCAGTTCGCCGTTTCGCTAGCCAGACAATAATTTACGTTAAAATGGCGGCTGGTAGAAGTTCATACGATGAAAAATGGCCGAGATATAGACATTCAAAGTTAGCAACTTTTTTTTCGGTTTATCAACTTTTTGCCTTCATATCGTGTTATTTTCTATTCTAGCATGCTAGATCAATTTTCATTCAATATTAAATTATTTTGCAATAATTTAGTGTTAAATTAAGAATAATAATGTCGTACAAATAAAATTTTCATGAATTTACTTTATATACATTGTAAAATCGATATACCTACATATATCATGTTACATCATTATGTCAAAATATTTTCGAGTTCAATATCAACTTCAGCTTCGATTTCAGTATGGATGTTTTCTTCGGTAATGTCTGGGATTTCAATGTTGTCGCTATTAATACCAATACATGCTTCATTCTTTACAAAACATGGAACAGGTTATTCCTGATTTTCTACAGCCACTGGATGCTTGGTAACTTTTTGTGTATCCACAAGCAATTTGCTCCAGCAAAGTTTGCGGGGCAGGAGGATTAACCGTCCGTATTGGTATTAAACTATGGTTTGAGTTTTCCCAATCCCGATCAAGTGTATTTAGAGCTTTCAAAAACTTGTAACTTTTAAAAAATTGTATTCTTCTTCTGTAATCCATACAAATTTTGAAAATTCACAGTTTTCAAAGTAGCCTTATACTGAATATTAGGTATATTAGCTTAAATATAAATTTGGATACGTTATTTGAATTTGACTAAATACATCTATTATTGCCACTTATTTATTGTAAAATAGTTTGTTAATTGAATAAAAATAAATTTACCATGCAAAAAAAGAAAATATCACGATACGAAGCAAAAAGTTGAAAAATCGAAAAAAAGTTGCTAACTTTGAATGCCTATATCTCGGTCATTTTTTATCGCATGAACTTCTACCAACGGAAATTACATAGGCTTCATTTTTCATGAAGCAATTCCTATGCTATGTTTGTTTTTCAGGATGATATCCGGCTTGTTGGCCTGAGTTGCTCGGTCGGTGTGCACCTGCATGTCCCAGATGATAGTAACTTCGGGGGTGTCTATCATTGGAGGTGGACTATGTTTATACCATTTGTCGTCTACTGGAATATTGTGGTATTTGGAAATATTCCAGTGCAGGTGAGCAGCGACCAGATTGTGGCGGTCGAGATAAGCCTTTTTCGCTAGGATTGGTTAGCCAGAGACGATATATGGTGGATGGTTTCCAAGTGTATCCGACACAGTCTACAGACTGGGTCGTTACCAGATTTCAAGATCCTCGTCTTCGTATAATTTGTTGCTATGACCTGCTCCTGGCAGGCAGTTATCGAGGCTTC